GCTCTTCCATGATTGTTCCAGGTGCATACGAATACCAGTCAGTTTCCTGGCAAGTCACTATTATTCGAACTAGCAAATCAACAAGAAAGCACATGTTGCCATGCTCTAGCTTACGGTGCTATGTCTCTCTCTCTCTCTTTTTTAAAAAACGCTCCAGCAGTCTCGCTCGAGAAATTGCTTTTGCGGCGTGGACGTGTGTGCTCGACCGTTCAGTAACTTGTTTAAACCTGTATTCGAGTCAACGTTTACGCAATGCAAAGCCGTCCATATGCCGCCCAACATCGTGTAACCCTCGACCGTGACATTATTCTGGCTGTTGATCCCTTTATCTCAGGCGTCAAGGTAGTTTACAATTGTCCCTGTCGTAAGTGAAGTGAATAACAATAGCGATACGGTTTTCGACGCTGGGTGTGTTTGCTGGTGAGAGCCCTTTTAGTACCAGTGAATATATTGTTGGCACATAAAACCGTAAGGGTCTCTATAACCTACTGTTTTAATACGAAGCAAAGAAACAAGTAAGACCAAACAAAAAACACCACCGACGCAGCCGAATTTATAAAAATGAAGTCAATTTATTTAGTGAAATCTGTCAAAACCCTCCTTAAAATACCTTTCTGTTCATATTCACTTTGCTTCATTTCGGTGTTTATGCAATGTAGCAACAATACCATAGCATCACCATTACTATTGCCTATACTGCTCTGTCAACGCGAATACTATTGTTTGTATCGAAGAATGCTCACTTGCGCGATAACTGAGGACTCTTTTTACACTGGTTCTTGAATTTCCAGAGGTCATTTGAGACATCTTACCATTACCTGCAATATAGAGGAAGGCAATTTTGTGCACTGTTGGAAAAGCAGATATCAGATCCCGCTGCAGAATGGCCGCGTATTGTGTAAAGCAAAATCGACGCGACGTATTTAGGAAAGCGCATTTATTAAGCAATATACACTAGGGCCCTTGAAGGGGTGTCTTGCAAATACTTATCAGTTGGCGAGCAGGAAAAGAGGCAGGGACATAAGGCAAGCCTGGGCCATCAATAAAGCCGAAGCACCGCTGGTTGTGTCTGACTGAGCTGCTGTGGTCACGGATGGGTCCGCTGCTGCGGCGGTAGTGTTCTTGCCTTCATCTTCTGTTTTGGCTTCTTCGCCATTACCAGCATTGCAGGCTATAAGTAACAATAAAAGCAGAAATGTGAGTAAGATTAACGTCAAGGGCAAGGGCAATAGATGACAGATGCATTAGCCAAAAAACATCATACCAATGAAGAACATTGCGACGATGAGCAGAATGTTGAAAAGGATTCTGTTCATCACGACGGCGTAGAGGTCTAAATTAATAAAAAGAAAAAAAAGACTTGTAGGTTAGGGGATTCCGCCAAGATAATGTCTGCCAAGTTAAATAATATCTTCTGGTGCACCAACTCACTGCAGACGATTCAAGGACAGTGTCTGAAACGACAACTATGTAATGTAACTGTGGCTGCTTATATAACTTTGCAATCTGCAGAAAATGCAATTGATTGGTTACTTTGCACTATGGCCTAGATCGTGGAGGTCACAATCGGTAGATTTTGTGCTTTGATGAGTCGCTTATGCCTGATTCAGAGTTCGCCTACGTACAAATGCACTGCGTCAGTCAGAAGAGGTGAAATTAGCTGGCATGTGTGGTGTTTATCATACTACTTTAATCGGAGTTTGGAGGAGAGTTTTCGTCTCAAGAATTTAACTAATGCCCTTAACTTTTTTCTAATCATTTCACGCTAGATCCCTTGGTAGTACTTTTTCTATGGTGTATTTTGTTTCGTAATATCGGATACCTTACATTACATTATACATCTTTTTGAACAGAAGCGTGAGATTATATTCGTGTATAGGGTTATGTGCCATAAATATGCCATGCATTTATCATGTAAAGACCTTCAAATAAACGTATTTTCGTGTCTTTTATGTGCTTTGCTTTAAAGTTCCGTGTCCTGGAGTAAATACACCCTGTAGCATGTGTGCACTTCGGTTTTAGATTTTTGAGGCAGGGCGTGTGACTGCGAGCCCCGCTGTCGGGGAAATACTGTTTTTCTTTAAGTCCCAATTATCATCCCATGTAATTTTTTGTGATGGTTCCTATTTAAGTAGCAGTTCAATTTTTTCCTACTTTTTGTGATCAATATAGTGTAACTTGATATACCTGGTAAAATATGGATGATGAATTGTTAAGAGCTGTTCGATGAAACAGAAGCAATCTGTAGTAGAAACGGAAAGTAGATTTTGTTGCGCATTTACGTCGAGGAAATTCAAAGGATTAAAACAAACAATTGCATGGAGCATGTATGCAATATATGCGGTATATAACTGCCTACTAGACAGGTTAGAACAACTGGGCTATAAGAAAATGTGCTCTGCAGACTGAACTCCT